ACGTGCCTGGCAGTAGTTAAAGCCACCGGGTCTGGGACTCAAATTGCGGTCGACTACATGGGAGTCCAGTGACATAGCCATTATGCCAACTGTTAGTTCCAGTCCCCAAGTCTTAAAACAAGCTGGGTGCTGTGTACATGCCCAAAGTCCCCAAAGGAAAATGGAGGAGAAAAGATTGCAGTGTAACCATCCCCCCACCCTGGGGGACGGGGCTTTCTCATGTTTCCTCTACTCCCTTTCTGTCTGTCTCTCTCTGGTGAGCACACATAACCTATAGAAAAGAAAAAAATTAGAGAGCATTTGTACAATATCTTCTTATTTACAAGCTGTACAGCCCCTAAAATAACTGTCTACTTAAATGATCAATAGCACTTCAGAGGTTCAATTCTATTCTGAGAATACATAGACTTGACATTTGTTTTTTAATATTCTCCTTGATCTCAGTTTGACCTCTTTCCACCAAGAGACAAATTTATTGGTGAGCAAACAGTTTTGTCTTTTTAGCTTTATATCTTTATGTATGTCTGTGTATGTACATATATAGTTCCATTTAAGTTTTGACTAATAGTTTATGGCTTTTCCAAGCAGTGGGATGAGGTCAGAATATATCAGGAAACAAAATAAACATTAAACAAGAGCGCAGCAGAAAGGTCTGAGGTCAGTGTAACGTAGTATTTCCTTGTACTAAAGTATTGAATTTAACACGATAATGTAATGTTATACATACAATAATCCCAAGGTCTATCTGTATTTTAAATTTATTCCTAGTGGAGGGTATTTTTATATTGCATCTTGTAGCATTCAAGTATGTGTCCAGATGTCAGGAACACCGTTGGCATATTGTCCAGATCTTCTACATGCTGGTGTTGGGAGTGCTAGTTGACAATGACTCACAGATGCCCTTTTTTTTCTAGAGAATGGTTCTAGGTCAAATGGGATTCTTCTTCACTGGGATGTACTCTCCATTGCTTCCTGGGGACAGCCATGGTCAATGATAAATGACAAAGGCTAGTTCCTGGTCTCACATTGAGACTGCATAGGGAGATTAATCTGAGAACATTCCAGCTGAGATGACAACCTTGCTGAACTCCCTCATTGCCCCTCTTGCTTCTTCTTTTAATTGCCAGAGGGTGCATGCTCTTGCCAGAGAGACAGAGCAAAAGAGAGTGAGAAAGTACCTCCCCACATCCTGCTGCCATGGGGCATAGTCACACTACTGTCCCTTCTTCATTTCTCCGTCCTATTGGGATTTGGAGCATGCATATACATATGCATGTATCCATTATGTTTTTCAAGAAGCCAGTACCAGAGCAGGGTTTGAACTGTGCAGTCGGCCATGTGGGATCCAGCTTCCTTACCACCAGACCACAAGGCTGGCATCCTTCTGCTTCTTTGTCTCTTTTTTTTTCCTGAAGGTACTCCCCATAATAAATCAAGAATCCTTGTAGCAGGCCCTGCTTCAAGAGTTTCTTACCTAAGACAACACCATAACTATTTTCCCCAGTGGTTGCTGCTTGGGCAGTTATAAAAGTAATTCTTTGTATAGTAACTGTGTAAGGAAACTTGAAATGTTAGGCAATGAAATCTAGACATTTTGCTAAATATCTATTTAGAAGATATAAGTCCACTTAATATGCTTTATCTTCTAAGAAGATTTCAGTTAAAAACATTTAGTTAACCTAGAAACAGTTTTGGAAAAAAAAAATTCTGGCAATAAACAGAAGGGAGTCCCTTGGAAAAGTATCATAAATTGATGGAGTAGACTCATGCACTGAGTTAGTAGTAGATGTTGACTTGTTGAAGTCTTTGCAATTTCAGTGAGATGGAGACCACACAGAGTAATGCTCTCCTGAAATAAGTTACTGTAGACGCTTGATTCAATGTAAAGACACAATGAAATAGATGAAATGCATTTAAGTGATACACAGTGAAGATAAGACATCACATTCTTAATTCCCATGGTTAAGGCTTAAAAACGAAAAGAGTAGAAGTATGTTCATCTATCCAAGTGCAAGAAATGGTCAGAATTCTCCTGGTCTATGAGTTGGTCTTGAGTCCTGGTGACCCAAAGACCAGGGCCTACAGCACTAGAGCTGACAGGCATACCTGAAATGTTGCCTGGTCTTCATGAAAGGTTGGGTTGGTCATTTTTGGCTTGTAAAGGTGACCACATCTTCTGGAAAAGGGGTAACCTAAAGAGGTCACAGCAGAGCAAACCCTAGAGGTAAGATTAATTATCCCAGGTTGGCAGGGGAGGAATAGTTTCAGGGGTCATTTCCAAGGGCAAGGGCAAAGTTGGCAAGAGAGAGCTAAGAAAATTAGAAATGAATAGAAAGTTCTATTTTTATGTGTGGAATGGCCTATTTTTATTTATCAGTAGTCTTATGGTGGATGTGCGGCCTTTCCAGCTTTAAGACCCAGGAGTCAGTAAGGCACAAATATGAGGCCTTAGAAAAACAACGATGTCCATTCCGACTCAGAAATCCTAGCTAGGGATGTCAGATTAATTTTATTTTTAAAGAAGTATCTATCAGCTAGAAAGTACACAAACAAGATTAGATTTTTTTTTTTTCCTGGCCAATTGTACAACCTTAAAAATTTAGCTTTAATATCTTTTCTGAAATGTCATTCTAAGGAGACACCCAAATTGCCTACGGTGGTCTTTCTCTAAAATCCAGAATAGAAAGAAAAGAAACAAATCTTTAGGTAATATATATGAAGACAGGAAGTTAGGTCTGATGGATAAAGAGAGAGAAAGAAGACAGAGCAGTCGTGCTCCATTATTAGAGAACTTTAAAGCTCTATGCATTTTCAGGAAGTTAGAAAGAACACGGATCAGCCCTTACTGCCTTTCTACTCCTCTTCCTCATCCAACTTCCTTCCTCCTGCATATCTGAGCTCTCCTCGTTCCCTCCTGAACCACATCATCTCTCGAACCCCTTTTCTTCTTTCCTAGAAGGATCCTACAATTTGGTTTATTTTGGATTTACCCTTGAAAAGAGCAGACGATTTGTTGATTCTTACTCTTTTCTTTTTAAAATAAAAAGGCAGTTACAGTATAAATTTAATTCTGATAAAAAGAGAAAAGCACAGTGCAATTCTTTTTACTACATGGCGATAGATAGATAGATAGATAGATAGATAGATAGATAGATAGATAGATAGATAGATACAGACAGATCCTGGACACGTACCCAGAATCCTCTTTAGGGTAATGACTATGACACTCCTCAGAGGTGAACTCATTTCCGTTACTCACTTTTAAAAGCACATGTTCCATTTGTCTTTTCACACTCATCTCAGTGAGATCTAAAATAGAGACTCATCATCACCTATTTAAGGGTTATGAATAGCACTGCCTTGAAAAGGCCTGGTGGAAATCTGTGTGAACATTGAAAGTGATGCATCCAGTTCAGAAGTCAGGCTGATACAACTAAGTCGGAGGCAGGATTGCCTAAGTATTCTTCTCATGGAATATACAAGACCCTCGGCCTCTGCATGTTGACAGTCAGACAGATATCAGGCATCGTTTCCAGATGGAAAAGTCAAGTGGAAGGGTGAGAACTTCAAGATTTAGCAGAATCTGCCAAACACAAAAAGGATCAATAATCCAGAGACCACCCTTAATGGCAGACTGGATTATAGGCCCCATTCTTCGCCCTGCCCTGTATTCATGCCCTTTCCCATGTGACTTGCAGACCCTGCAACTAGAGGTAGAGGAGACCTTCCCACCCCTTGATTTTGGGCTTGGCCATATAACTCGCTTCCACTAATGGAACGCTGACATGAGTCACAGGATGCCACTTCCTACCCAGGCCTTGAGAAGCTTGATATGCTTCCACTTGTCCTCTCCAAGTGAAGAGTAAGAGATAAGGGTAAGAGATAAGGGTAGAGAGTAAGAGATAAGGAACGCAGAGAAGATGCAGTTACTGAGCTGAGGCTGGATCCACCTTAAAAATGGCTATCTTTTAAGCACTAGAATGTTAGAGTATTGCTAAACAGCATTATTCTGGAAATCTTGGATTGATACAAATACTATGCAGAAGAATAGCCTGCATGAAGGAAGAACATGAATAGTAGTGAGTAGAAAATGAGAGCATAAGTAGTTAACAGTTTTCTGAAAAAAAAAAAAAAAAAAAAAAAAAAAAAGTGCAGTCTTAAAAATGGCTGACGTTACTCCCTATTTTGAATATTCTGCTCTTTAAATAGGTCTTGGGAAAAGGTGAAAGGAATTGTAGATCATAGATTTCCTGACCATATTGGAAATCACTAATATATCCACGTTCAGGAAGACATTGGCCTCTTTGGGAAACAATAAACACTTTAAGTCTCACATGTTTCCCATATGCAATGACAGGTGGGTGCAGGTGTACAAAAGACCCAGAACTCCTGCTTCAGTGCGAGATATTTCTAAAGGGCTTAGGGCTCTCTGAAATATCAGTGGAGGTCGTTACACATAGATGACAACCGACTGACTGTGTGTGCAGTCTTAAAAATGGCTGACGTTACTCCCTATTTTGAATATTCTGCTCTTTAAATAGGTCTTGGGAAAAGGTGAAAGGAATTGTAGATCATAGATTTCCTGACCATATTGGAAATCACTAATATATCCACGTTCAGGAAGACATTGGCCTCTTTGGGAAACAATAAACACTTTAAGTCTCACATGTTTCCCATATGCAATGACAGGTGGGTGCAGGTGTACAAAAGACCCAGAACTCCTGCTTCAGTGCGAGATATTTCTAAAGGGCTTAGGGCTCTCTGAAATATCAGTGGAGGTCGTTACACATAGATGACAACCCAACTTCTCCCTCTGCCCAGTTCTACTTCTCTTACCGTTCTGTTACATTGTTCCCTCAAACACTCCTCAACAATCCTCTGGCATGCAAATCTCGGAGGTTCAGGTCTGTCTGTGGGTACCTAGACTCATGGTACACCGCGCCCAGACAGCTTTCCAGTGAGCAGTGGGACCTGGAGGAAGGGACAGGGGAGGGGCTTACCCACGATCATGTGGTTGCAGACGTCACAGAAAGTGGGCTTCTTGAAGATGTGTTCCTGAAAGGCATGGGCCTTGCCGCTACCTGGGTGCAGGCCAGTCCTGGTGGGCGTGGATGTCAGGCTTCCAGGAGCAGGGAGTGGGCTGGAGCTGGGGCTGACCTCGGCCAGCATGTCGGCTGGCAACTTCACGTCACTGTTGGTTCGCTGGAAGAAGTTGTCAGCACTTTTGCTCCGTAAACTCTTGGTCTTGAAAGAAAGTGATCGTTTTAGTTTCTGGAGCTGCAATGCAATGACAGAACAGTCTCTTTTACGATGGATCATGCAGACTCATGCTGAGGGGGAGGTCTGTTCCATGCACTGCACAGTTCCCACTGGCCCTGTGACGGCTTAGATATGTCGCTAAGTGTGTGGGGTGATGGAAGTGCCTAAAGAAGAGGGAGCTCAGCAGCACACTCCGCTCCTACTGCCAGCCAGACTAGCAGAAAGTCTCATTTTGCCTTTGCATCTGCTGTTGCTCTTCCTCAAAATGTTCCACAACATTGGGTTTTTGGCACCATGTGCCTTTTGAATGAGAATCATTGGAAATATTAAATGTATGAACACATGGGTTCAAAGACTGGTTGTGTAATGCTGTCCTTTGTCTCCTATGATCACTTTGCAGCCCTTGTCTCTGCACCAATAAAGCCAAAGAGCCCCCTGTCAGATTTAAAATTGATCCGGCTAAACTATCCACAGAACACAAACCAGAAACTCTCATCTGCTTGGGTCTCAAGTACATGGATAAGTAATTTTGTGTGTGTGTGTATGTGTGTGTGTGTGTGTGTGTGTGTAGGACAGTAGGATGAATGATCTGTTTTACATTGTTCTTCCTGATGCCCTGCCCTTATTTTAGGCTGTGGCTAATTCAGCCATTTTTCCATTGAATTCACTTATGATCTATTGTATTTCTGTTATGTCTTGTCAATTTGCCTGTTTCATTGCTGAAACCAAGATGTGCCCCAATAGTTAAGGGCAGACAGAGGCACACTAACAAATAGGGACCATTATATGGAGTAATGTTTATGTTGTTGGATTCCCATGTAGTCGACCTGCGGTTCAAGTCCCAGACCTGGTGGCTTAAATGTCACACTGGGCATGTGTGTTTTCATGCCCAAAATCCCAGGGGGGAATGGAGGAGAAGGGATTGCAAATTGGCCATCACCCCTAGGGTAATTTCTTGCTTTCTGTCTGTCTGTCTATCTCTCTGGCAAGCATACATACCCTATAGCAAACATCTCTCAAAAAAAAAAAAGTGGACAAATATAATATTTAATACTAAGCACATCAAACTAGACTGTGAAAGAGAGACATTGTATGTCCCCACATAATACATGCCAAATATCTGCTCTCTATGGCAGAAATGGAAAGACTGGAAGGTATAAAAGCATGAAGAGCAACTTTGGATACTAGAGACAATATGGGAGGTGGGTGGACAATTGGGGGGCAGAAGGGATGGAATCAGGGAGAAAAAGAAGCAGAGTGTTAACTGACACAAAAACAGTAAATTATCGGCTGATGATAATGTGTTTAGTAATATCTTTGACTGGACTAGTATGCAGTGTATTCATGCTGGGAAAATTCATGTTGTATGCTGTAAAGATGTATAGTGATTAAATATTTAAAAAAAAAAAAAGAAAAATAAATAAATAAATAAAAAGAAGATATGCCATCATTAGTGCTTGGGGTAAGGCCAGAATTATCTCCCTTTCCCTTCTTATCCATGATTCTTTGCAATGTAACTTTGAAGTGCCTTTTGTCAAAAGTAAAACCTATTTCCCACTCTTTGAATCTTCTTGATTGCAGGAATTTGATCAATAGAAGGCATTTTAAGCAAGCTCCAACCCCAGGCCTCAAGATGCCTTGCATATTTCTGTCTCTCCCTTTTGGAAATTTTCCATACTGCTTCATGGAAAACTGAAGGATTATGAGACACAAGGGGGTTCAGCTGATCTCTTGGGAGATCCCGGAAGCAAAACCACCCTACTTCCCTGCAGGCATATAGAGTCCAGATAAGACAAAAGAACTCTCTGAGTCCTGCTAAAACCGTCAGCCCACACATTCATCAACTAAAGAGATGACTAGTGTTTTACGGAAATAAGTTGCATATCTATTGTGGGTACATGGCCCTAGATATTGATACAATGCTATTTCTCCCGTAATCCTGGCATATGGTGGGACTGTAGATCTTTGTCCACCTGAAAGTGAGTGTGGTTGTGGGAAGCTAGTTCACTTCTAAGAGCTGTCCACTGGGGAGGCCTTGCAGGGCTGACTAGAAAAGCCCAACTAGGGCCAGAAGTACGGCATCATCAACCGGGGAGATTGCTCAGAGAAGCAGCAACAATCTACAGAAGGGTCAGATACAGTGGGCCAGCTAAGACTTTCCTTCTATTCTACAACTCAAAACTACCAGAAGAGCTAGAGCTGTCAAAGGAAGAGGAAGGAGTGCTTCTGAGTTATTTTGGAGTTGTCTGTTACTGTAGCATAATGTAGAACATCCTGATTGATACAGGGGTGTGGAGTCACAAGTAGTTGGGAGTGTAACTTTTACTTTGAAGAGAACCTTCCATTTTTGAAAAAAGTTAAGTGAGAGAGGGCTATGAAACAATCATCGGTTGAGGCCAAGCACTGAAGAGAGGACTTGAAGCAGCAAAAGAGCAGCACAGAGCTTCTTCAAGTCCCCTTCAGGCTCTGCATTAGGTTCATGCTGGAAGAAGGAGGTGACATTGGAGTTTTGTTAGAGAAGGACTTTTAAAAAATTTTTATTTTATTCCAAGTTCTTTTACACACCAATCACGTTATTTAACTTGTAAAGTGAATATTCAACATGCGTGCATTTCTCCTCAGTCCAATTGATAATGCTCTAAAGTTATCTTCAACAGATTAAATCCTATTTCTTTGTCCCATTAATGTTATGCCTCTATTTTTCTCCTCAATGTCGTTCCTCAGACTCTACTCCTTCACCCAACCTCTTCCCACACTATATCTGGTATTCACAACCATTTACTGTGTTTCTATATCCTGTAGTCATTCAATTTTGGTCATAGAGTGCGGACACTTGGTATATATTTAGTGGAGATATGCAATGCAAATAAAAACCAAAATAAATAAACAAATGAAAGGCTATGAAGAAGGACTTTTAAAGCATTAAAATATCCAGAAAATTAAAGAATATGCCAAGCATTTGTCATGAAACATGCAACACAAGTACCAAATATCAAAGCAATACTGTCACAGAGAAAAAATAAAATAATTTTCTTTTTGACCCCCACTGAGTTTGAATAGTTTAATAAATGGGCTACCTATGTTTCAAAAATAGGATTAATAACACCTACCTTAATTACACTAGAGCATCCTTTTTTAAAAACTTTTATTTATTTATTCATTTGTTTTAATTTGACCAGACACACACACACACACACACAAATAGAGAAAGCAAGCCACTGGGTCCAGGACTGGAATTGGCCATGTGGGAGTGTCCAGCGCTATAACAACCATGCCACCTGCTGGTCCTGGACATTCTTGTTAGAATTAGAGGGGATAATGCATGGGAGAGCTCTCTGAGAGCTCCTTATGATGTAAATGGATGATGATGGAGGCAGAACAAGGGGAGCAGAAAGCTGGCAGCTTGGAGTTGGGCTAAGTGCTTTGTTATCCATGTTAATCATTCCAGCTATTCAAGATGTTATTTTATCCCTGGAGAAGTAGAATTTGAGGGAGGTTAAGCAACTTGCCTAAGGTCTCACAGCTTATATAAATCAACACCAGGTTCAAAATTAAATATGCTTTATTCCCATGCTTTTTCCACTGATGGTGAGTCTTTAGGGGATAAATTGTGGGGAGGAGGGGAGGAGGAGGGGAGAGGAAGGCAGATAGGGGAGAGTTATCCTTCATATTCAGAGGAATAAAACAACTTCTGGTGTTCACTGAGGATGTGAAGAGATATACTGGGTTGTTGGAAAAGTTATGAGGCATTTTTGCATAGAAAAACACATCATGACATTTCCTACGACCCAACAGAATGGGAAGTAAATTTGTCTTTTGGAGTTGTGTGTCCCCTAGCAACTTATGCATGTTGTTTAAGTAGGATACCAGGAAACCTACAGCGTTTTATTTTCTCTATGGCATGTGGCTGGAAATTGCATCAGGCCATTGGACTCTGCCTGCCTCTAGTGTGAGAGAATTTGCCTAGGAAGCCAATGTGATACTTCTTATTCAAGTGGACAGCTTAAAAGACATGATTATGAGTTAAATAAATTCCTAGATAGGAGCTCAAAGGAACTTGCTTTCTCCAATTATCCACAAAAGAGTAGAGGCCAGATGGGAACATTCAAAATGCAGAAATAGAATCAAACACTGGTCATGTCATAAAATGAGTAGCTTCTGTGCACCAGTACCAAAGCCCAGCTCCATTTTATTTCTAACAGTAAAAGGAACAGGTATCTTTTGGTTACCTTAGCATGGATAGAAACTACTCTATATAATTTACTTCATGTAATTATCTTAATGACCTTAGGAGTAGTGAATTTTTCATGCAATCATTAAATAATTCATTTAATAATTGTTGATTGGAGTATTTCTATGAGTCAGGGATAGTTCTTCATTTGGTGAAAATAGCATGAAATAAGGAGAAAGTACTTCCCTTTAAGATTTCAAAGTCTAGTGGGTAAAGACAGAAATTAAATAATCAAAGAGGTATGTAATGTCAACTTGGGCATAGATAAAAGCTATAAAGGAAAATAAAAGCAGGGGAAGGGCTTAGAAGGTGACAGAGAAGGTTTCTCTGAAAGGTGGAATCTAAGCAGGGACATGAAATAGTGAGTGTGTGGGCTATGTAAGAGAAGAACATTCTGGGTAGGGGGAAAACCAAGAAAAAAAGCCCCCAATGAAAAAAAATAGCAGGAGGTTGGTGTGTCTGATGAGGGGATAAAAGGGCAGAGATGCTGAAGGCAGCTTCATTCTGGGCCTTGGAAGTCATGGCAAGGGCTTTGAAATTCATCCTAAAAGTAATGGTTTGGGGCAGGGAAGTGTCAGGGTCTGACAAAGGGTCAGCCTAGTACTTGTGTGAAAAACGAACTGTAGAGACAGTAGGAGGCAAGGAGGAGGCAAGGAGACTCTTATAATGATCGTGACTGGAGGTAATTGTGACTCAGCCTAGAATAGCTGTGGTTGAAGATGGAGTATATTTTGAAGGTAGAACTTGGATTTGTTGAGGGGTTGCATATGCATTATAAATGTCTTCA